CCTTTCATCTTTGGCTTTATCAACAGTCAGGTTTTGTCATTTCTCTCCAAAACATTGGCCCTCCAAAGGTTAGCCAAAGGATAATCTGTACAGATGAAAGAGAAAGAAGTGAGATAATTTAAGTATAACGTTAACTTAATGTTTAAGATTTTGGCTTTTTTGCCTCTTCTTTCTTTGGTAGGCCAATCTTGAGATTACGTGAAAGTCTTAAATCGTGGTTCATAAAAGCCTCTCGAGACATTTACTCACATTTATTACCTTTATTTTTACCTCACATATTTATACTCTTAAGGTGTAGGTAATGTATAAATATATTGTTTTGCAAGCTGTTATTAGAAGACTGTAAGGAATAAAATTGATAGTTAAGAAGGATTGATTAAGAAAGATTGGATAAGATGTTCATTTCAACAAATATCAACTTCCTAACAGACTCAACTTTATGTCTGACCAAAGGTTATAAGAAGGACCAGGGAAGAGGCAAGATAAAACCATTGGTAAGAAACTAAGGATTACTTACATATTACTTGATAACCCTGAATTATATTGTATTCCTGAATTGAGCTTATCAACACTGTTGCAAAGGAATGCCCTTAAGCAGCTAACAAAAATACCTTCATCTTTTTTGTTGTTCATCCTTTTGCTCATTCCTGCTATCTTCATCTTCATCTGTTTCGCATTTCTTTTTTTCTTCTCATTTTCTTCACATTTTTCTGCCTATTTTTCTCATGTTTCTTTGACTAGGGAAAGTGGATAAGAAGATTGAAAGAAACTCTATCCATCTCTTCATTTTACTGATCAAGTTAAGTCTCTTGCTTGATCCAATGGTTAAGACAGAATCACGGATAAAAGTTGAAACTTATTTCACTGACCAAACCTAAGGATTGATCAGAATTTAATTGGATAAATAGCTCAATTGCTATCAAGGGATGATACTCTATTTTCCCCAATCAAACCATTAACCATCAAAATTCACATTCCAAGTTAACCTTTCCCTCCTTTTCACCTTTACAACCGAATGGCCAGTGACTTGAAATACCTTTCATTTCACTTTCTTTTACCTTCAATCTAATAAGCTACATGGCACAAAGGTCAGACAATCTGTGAATATTTCCTTATCGATATTATTAGCCACACAATTGATCAAAGCATTTCTTTGCCCTTCATCCATTGACTCCTGGTTGTCCCCTCAAGTTTCAAGAGTTTCAATATTAACAAGGCAATCACGCATTAACTGTCAAATATCAATCAATGGTATTAACTTCCAAATAATGCTTGAGTCCGTCCAAGATGGTTATTAATAAAGAAACCCAATAAGAGATGGTCAGGTCAATATACTCCAATCCATTGGAATAGTTATACTAAAATTGGTGATCATTATCTGACTCTAGGTCATGTCCTTCATCATCAATCGGCTACCATTAATCGTCCTTTTTTGTTCCTATCATCGTTTTGTTGTTGCATGTTGATTTGGTTAACAGTAGACAAGAAAGGCTTCCAAATTATTCATCTGTAACTGACATGAAAGGTTTGAAAATAAAACTGTTAGCATCATCTTTATCACCATTATCACCACAATGTTTGCTTTTTTTCTCCTTATATCATCATAAATATTCACTTAATTGTTTCTTACTTACTGTTCTTGGCAGAGTTGATTTTTCTTCTTCTTTTCTCCATCTTCTCTGAATCTCAGAAGGGCGATCAAAGACAATTACGGTTAATTAACAGTATTTTGCTCCTTAGCACCAAAGAATGTTTCTCCTTGATTGTTACTTTCACTGTTGAAATAAGATTGAACAAGATTCACTTGGCACATTAACTGTTATCAAAGATAGCTTCAACCTCTTCCATGGTTGATCCATCATTAAACATTTCTCGGCAGGATTTTTACTCACTGAGAAGTCAAAGGCCTGACAAACGACTCTTAATTGTTAAAAACAAACTGTCAACACTGTTAATTAGAGGTCAATCAAAATATTGGCCCTAACATTTACAATTATAGTCAATTTGTTTGAAATATGAAATGAAATAGCAGAAGATACAAAAGCAATAATCGTCAAGTTATACAGTTTAGTCGTTCAACTACAACCAGAAAAGATATCACAAGTTTGTGTCTAATTTTTATCATATCAAAACTGTTTTACTTTGACAATTAACGGCCAAGAAGATTTGCTAATCGATAATTAAGAAAAATTACTTACAAATTAACGAAACCAAAGAAAGTTTAAAGTTGACAAAAATACAGAAGCTTTTGTTTCGTTTCTCAGCTTTCACTTTCCAACTATAGGGAAGATATTGACAATGGAAAACAAATTATCGCTTGATTAATAGCATTTTGCTGGATTAGAGGCTTTCAATTCCATAAATTGTTCCCGATATTAGGGTTTTGTTCCTCTAATTTTTTGTCCCAATTTGTACTGTTCTTGTTCTTGTCTTTAGTTTCAAGAACTAACAACATTTTTTGTTCTTGTTTCTTAAAAATATTGAAACAATGCAAAGCTACATTCGGTAAAAAACGGTTTTATGAAGACGCGGTTGATTCAAATGTGATTATTTTGCTATTAATTTTGCTTTCTAATTCCGATAATTGATTTTCTTTTATAATTAGATTGTCTTGAGAAATAATTGTATAATTTGTTTAGGATGCTGAGCCATAACAAAATCAAAAATCGTAGTTTAAGTATAAAAAATTGAAACTTTTTCTTCATCTTTCATCAATCCTATCAACTTTGACAATCATCCAATTTGTCAATTGCACTCTAAGCTAGCATCAAACTGAGTTACAGTAAAGTATCAATAAGACTAGAAGAGGAAGATGATGATGAAGATGAAGATGATGATGATTAGAAAAAAAGAGGAAGAAGAAAAACTCAAAGTAGATTCATAGTAATTAAGTAAAGCCTCGGTAATTTGTCTCTTTTTGTTAAATACCATTAAAACTATCAACATGATTAACTGTTGATAAAAGAGTTGTTACCCAAAGCAGCGAGCTTTAAATTAATTTTGATTCACCAGATTGCATATAGTGATATATTTGTTATTTATGAGGGTAAACCGTGATCTAGCTTCGTAATCAACCAGCAATTTCATCAGCAGATAATCTGGACGATTAAAATAATGGTAGAGATGAAAATTGAAAAATTTAAAGTTGGACCCAAAAAAGCTGGATACCAGTTTAATTAAGATTTAACCATTTTTATCGAGTATGATTTGTGGGTTAATCACTTGATGATGGAACAGCATTCAACAGGAATTTAAATTGAGATATCAGTCACATTGAATTAAATTTGAAAATAGAAATGGCAATTGGTTAATAATTTACAGATGCCCCAGAAATTTGGTTAAATTTGATCAGTGGAAACTTCATTTCGGTCCATCATTGTTTAGCCAGCAAATCAGCCTTCTTGGATTGTTTCATCTCCACCATTGTCAATGGATGTGTTCAATCAACCTGAAATTAACTTAAATCATAACTGACATAACTTGATTTGATCAGGTTGACTGGGTCATCAGGGAAGGCGCTGTAATCAACAAGAAAAAAGAGGGGTTACTTAATCTTTCAATGGATTCAATCAAAAGGTGGATTCTGATTGTTTTGAGGTTCAATTATTATTTCATGATAACATATTAGTTGTTTTTTCATTACGTTAATCACCAATAATCATGTTAATTTGATTTGACACCATCGAAATGAGCCTTTCAGTGTTTCTCAACCTTCTTCATGTATAACCAGAAAAACAAAAATTGTGTTTAACGGTAAGAAACCCATCTTCAACATTGAATAATCTTATAATCATCATTATTATTGTCATAATCAACTAGGTATCAACATAATGATCAACATGGTTATACCAATACATGTATAATCATATAGCAATATAATTTGATTGTTTAGCCGGATAAATTTAATCATATTTGATGGATGAGAGGTAAAAAACAACACCAATATGTCAAAAGGAATCAACCTTGAATTGGATTGAGAAAAGACTTTTGTCTTTACCACTTTCTCTTCTCAGATTTAACTTTCAGTCTTCTCAGTTTACTCAAGCTTTTTCATTTGTATCATCTTGGTCTTCCTCTTCAATCTCATCTCTTTACAAAATCATCTTCCCTTCATATAAATAATGG